GGCACAGCATGGTGGGCACAGCCACAAAATGGCCACCATAGCGTGCCTTCGGTCACACAGTGAAGATCCTTGTGCTGTGGTAGCAGCTTGTTGCCAAAGAAACATTTTTAAACATTTGTCAGAAGCCTTGCTAGGCAAACGTCCCACCAGGCCTCGCCCACTTTCTCAAACCCTTGACAGGAGCCAGGAAAGGGTTGATGGGCTCCCTGATATCTATGAGCCCCATGTTGGGAGCCCTGAGTTAGTGCTTCTGAGGAAGACATTGTCAAAGTATACCTCAGCAGACCCCCTCTTCCCAATAATGGCCTCCTTCAACCAAACCATATCTCACATCCAAACTGTAGTGACTGCATCAAATAGCCTTTTGAATTTGGATTCAGAATACTGATCAGAAATGGGAGGGGGGGGGTTCTTAATTTTATGGTAGCTCTTGCACCAGAGTCCAGTTCAGCAGTTACAATAAATGCATGTAAAATTTGTGCACCTTGTACACTTGACTGTTAGTTCACATATAAAGCCAACACATATACAGCTGAACATGTGATTCAAATACCACATTTATTCAGGTAGCGGTCCCCAGTTTAATTTGTACAGTGAATGCATGTTGGCTCTGTCTTACGACAGGAGTACACATGTACAAGCAGGCTGTATGAGTACTCACTTTAATATGTGAACAGGGCTAGTGCCTTGTGCAAATGGAACTGTTAACAGATCTTCCAATATCACATAGAGATTATTCCCTGTTCACAAAAATCTTGACCTAAATCATGTACACAATTACTACATCAGTTACAATGGTTTGCTAACTTACTGAAATCTTGAACTTGGAAAAAGATTCCCTTCCATTTTTCAAGGCCACATGTTGGCAGACAAAAAAAAAATGAACTACTACTAAAGATTGTGGGACTTTACCAGGTCTTTTTTTTCGGGGGGGATGCGCTGGGACAGAGTTCCGGAACCTCTTCGACAAAATTATTTTTAAAATGTTTAAAAGTTCATGAGTTTTCAGTATACAGATTGAAAACTTCATTTCCCTCTTAAGAGTTCCACCACCTCTTTAAAAAAAAAAAAAAAAAAGCCCTGTTAAACACTATTGTCTACAGCCAATGTTACATAATTCTGATCAGATTTTAGAAAATAACGACTTCTACCCTTCCCAATAAATTACAAATCAGTTATCAAAGTTTCCTTGTAAAACTACTGTTTGATCCCTTGCTTGAATATTTTATCTACATCTTCTAGCCCATGTCCCAGTCTACAAAACAAGATATATAGCATATATCTGATCTGATAGCATGCAATGCAAGAAAGAATCACACATTCAGAGCATGCTTCGGTATTTGTGTAGCATGTACCATAAATCAGAGATTTACAGAGTGACATCTTTAAAAGAAGGCTTTTATTACTGATGTGGGATCTTGACAACAGTTTCTTTCACTTTTAAGTATGATACCATATGTGATTTGTTTCCCCCAATACGGGAGAATAGGTAGGAAATATTAATCAAATGAAAGAGACCAGAAGTAGAATGAATATTGGGTACAAAACCTCTCTTACACACACTATACACACAGGTACCATAATACCCCATGGCCAAGAGCGGCTGCGATCACACACACACTAAATAATCCACTTTCAATCCACTTTTGAATTGGATTTTGCCAGTTCACACAGTGAAAATCCAGTTGGAAAGTGCATTGAAAGTGAATTGAAAGTGGATTATTTAGTGTGTGTGATCGCAGCCAGTATATAATAGAATTACAGTTAAAATGTGTAGATCTAAGAAAGCAAAAGGTTAGCCCAGTTAGGCCACTCTAACTTTTGTTCCTGAATATACTGTGAGAGATCTGCCCTTAATTCTCTGCTTTCACTGGAACTTAATTTGAACATTGCTATTCATGCGGGACTATCTTTATGTCTGAAATTCTTTAAACGTAATTCCCCTTTTATGGGACAATCTCATTGTCCCATCGTTTGAGTATAAGGTTACTTCTAACAAACAATCCTAGCAAATGAAGTCTGAAGCTGTCAGGAACATGATGTAGTATCTGCCTGAATACTTGAACCAGCTGTGATCCAGATTCTGCTGAAGTTATATAAATGTTCGTTTTTAGCAATAATGTCAGCAGAGTCCAATTCAGACATTAAAGAAGACACTCTGCATTAGTTCTCCTGAGAGCCAGCGTGGTGCAGTGGTTAAGAGCGGAGGACTCTAATCTAGAGAACCAGGTTTGATTCCCAACTCCTCCTCCACATGAGGCCTGCTTGGGTGACCTTAGGCCAGTCACCATTGTCACAAACTCTCTCAGCCCCACCTACCTCACAAGGTGACTGTTGTGGGGAGAGGAAGGGAAGACGATTGTAAGCTGCTTTGAGACTTCTTACAGTAGAGAATAATGGGGTATAATAACCAATTCTACTTCTGACCGTCTCAGGAAGCATTTGATTGTTTGGGACTGCTGGTTTGAATCCACTTTTATATCCAAATATCCGTAACAAGGAAAATTAGCACACCAATAGCAGTTATGAGGGCTAAGGCCGGTGTATCTGCATGGAAGATTGTATGTCAGCGCCTGACTGTCAGGATAACTGAAGTGGGTAATGCCCAGTCTCACGTATGTTTTTAAAAGAAGAAGAAGAAGAAAAGATCAGAGTCTCAGAGCAGCTTACAAACTCCTTTCCCTTCCCCTCCCCACAACAGACACCCTGTGAGGTAGGTGGGGCTGAGAGAGCTCAGAGAGAACTGTCCTTAGCTCTGACAGAACTATGGCTTGCCCAAGGTCATCCAGCAGCTGCAAGTGGAGGAGTGGGGAATCAAACCCGGTTCTCCCAGATTAGAGTCTGCATGCTTAACCACTACACTCTCGCATGGGTAGGTTTTTAGAGTATCAAGCATCGAGTTCCTCCAGATTATGATAAATATGCAAGCCTCCCCTCCAAAAAAGTCTAACCTATTAGCTCCTATGCAATCATCTACTTAGACAGCAAGACAAAAATAGATTGAGTCAGTCAACCGCTTTTCCTTCTCTGGAGCTTCCGTACATTTTCCCCAAGTAAAATGCTCGGCCAGAATAAATTCACTGAATGCCACCGCTTGCCTCCATCATGCATGCTTTCTTGGGATCACCTTCCCTTTTGAAGACGCCAAGAATGCAGCTTTGCTTGCTTCATTCAGAATGTTGAATTCCCATATTAGTTCACAACACATTGACCAACTGTGTTAACCAAGATGGATAGCACTGACAAGGCGGAAAGCGGTTCTCCATTAGGGAAAACAGTGGGATACAGTGACCTTTACATTCAAAGAGAACTGTCCCTAAAATAGCATGAAGTGGTTCTTTAAAACACTTTCCCCCCCTTGTTTTTATTATGTTTGCTAACCCAGTGCAAGGTTGCTGAGCACTATTGTTGTGTGCATGCTCGTTTTTTCCCTCCCACTAATCCCGGCAGTAAATTCTCCCAGAGCTGCCAAAGAATATGAATCACCATCTCACAGCTTTTTAAATAAATTGCCTTCAAAAGTCTTCCTTATTAGTAAGCCTATTCTCCGGGACGGTTGAGTTCCATTTACACAAAAACTCAGATACAACTCAAGAGATTTGGTCATTTTGAAAGGCAATCATAGAACTTCAGTGAAATCTACAAGTCAGTTTACAAACCACTCGCAGCCAAAGTCCAAGATCACATGTGCACCGTAAATCACAGTAAGGTTGAAATGCGACTGTAAATCAGCCTCCCTGCATAGCCATCCATTGACTCAGAAAACTGACACAAGCACAGTGAAAACTGCCTGGCTCTTTTTACATATTCACAACAACAGCAGCAAGAGAGGAGCGAAGGAGCACTAAGTGCCCTGTGCAAATTTAATCCAAGCCTCACCTCCAGGCTGGGGGCGGCAGTTCTTCCAGAATGACAACTGGTCTCCAGGCCACAGAGATCAGTTCCCCGGGAGAAAATGGCTGCTTTGGAGGGTGGAGTCCATCGCATTACAACCCTGCTGAGCTCCCTTCGCAAGCTCCACCCTCACAGAAGTTTCCTCAGTCGGAGCTGGCAGCCCTATCCAAGCCTAACAAGCTTGACTCCGAAGCCATTCCCACTGAATGAAGAGGGCCTAATGCTCCAGTCAGCACAGAAGACCTAAGGCCCTCATTTTTAACAGTCCTAGGCGCCCTATTTTATTTACGAAAAACACCTTAAGATGACATGTCTCTCCAGACCGAACAGACTGTAAGGTTATCTAATATAATGCAAAGACAAAGCATTTCAGATCCAACTGTTGGTTTCCTATATTTTTATATATTGAACATTGACTGAATAAGCTCCAGGTAAACCCATATATTTAACATTAACAGCAACCCGGTCGGTATAAACATCGAAGCCTTAAGCAGGTATTAACACAATTGACAGGGTGATTTCTTTGCAGCAGACCCAATTTTTTAAAATAGGATTTTCTCTTTGAGAAAAAAATTGATGGCAAAAATGCTCCAAGATGCCATAGGAATTTTTTCTTTATAAGTCTGTCTCTCTAATTACAGAGAAACTATTATTTTTAAAATATCCTGTGTAACAAAATGGGACTATTTCAGAATTATCAATTCATTGGTTAACCAAAACCCTTTCATCAGTGTGACACTCCATTAGGAGAACAAATTAATGATGCTGCACAGTCATTTTTAGATTCACCATAAACATCTGCTAACGTATTGTAGCATTAAAATAAGCATGCAGTCTAATATATTCCAGTTAAAAAATTCAGGCATTCTGTATTGCTCGTTTCTGAGCAAGGAGTTTGGAGTTAAGCACCAAACATACATGAGCTACAAAATGATTCATGACAAAATTATTCTAGTTTGCTGTGACTTTTCACATGATCCCTTGATCAAACGAAATGTCCTCTACACTTGTTATTAGCTTCCTTATTTGCATTTAGAACAGGCTCAGAGTTCATGGAAGATTGACACATGCTTGCAACCCAACAATCAAACGTCTTTGCATAGTACCTTGTGCCTGAGCTGCAGAACTGTGAGAATATCCGAGAGCCAACAGTGCAGTCTCCACCAGTTGACTAAAAAGCACATCTTTCCGAACCAGAACAAACTCCGCGTGTTCTTCTCGGTTATCATATTCAAGAGAATTGTCCAGCTGCTCCACCACACAAAAAACAGGAATCATCAAACCTGGAGGGAGAGAGTGTTAAAATCCACAATTAGAGACCTTAAGAACATAAGACAAGCCCTGCTGAGGCAGACCACAGGCCAATGTAGACCAACATGTTGTTTCCAGTCTCTGAACTGCCAGCCAGATGTGCATTTAAGAGGCTCCAAAGCGAGGCAGGAAGGCAAGAGCCTTCCATGTCCCCCAGCAACGAGTATTCAGAGCCATTGCATGGAGACTCCATTTGGCTATCCTAATTCACCACTACTAATCAACCGACTGCCCATGAATTTGGCTGACCCTTATTTGAAGCAACCTCCGTGAATATCCATTATCACATCTTATGAACTACTAAATTCTGTAAATTAAATATGCAGGGTGAAATAATACTTTCTTATCTTTGTTCCAATGAAGGGAAAATAAAAGTCCTTCCATGACAAATTGTTACTAACAGTGGTCTTAACAATGAAATGGTCTTGTAAGAGAAGTATATCACATGGGGTCATTTATGATAAAATAAGCAAGTACAGTGCAATCAATACCAGATTGCTCTAACTGTCAAAAGACGGTTATTAAAATTATTATTTTAATATTTTAAGTGTATTATTTAACTGCTGTATACTGCCCTGAGCCCATCGGGGGAGGGCGGTATATAAATCTAATAAAAGAAAAGAAAAGAAAACAGAAGTCCAGTGGCCCTTTAAAGACCAACAACAAGGCCCAAATTGGAATAAAGTTGTTAGTCTTTGAAATGACACTTTTCAACACGGGTGCGCGATGGGCCGCTCTAAGAAGAGGTAAGTTAAGAAAAAACTATCCCCGCCAGTTTAAACAAGCAAGCAGATCCATTTTCAACTGATACAGTGAAGACCATTTCAGGTAGACAGCCATGCTTGTCAGCAGTGGAAGAACAAGATTCAATTCAGTAGCACCTCAGAAACCAGTATCTCCAGTGTATAAGCTTTCAACAGTCACATCTGATGAAGGGACCTTTGACTGTCAGAAGCTTACACACCCTGAAACCTTGCTGGTCTTTAAGGTGCTACTGGACTCAAATCTTGATATAGGGAGGATAGTTCACTGCCAACATTTTTGCACCCTTACAAACCATACAAGAATATAAAAATAGTTCAGGGGTTTGAACCCAACTGTTCCTTCCATGCTATCGACAATCTGTCAGATTCGAGGCTCTAAACAAGAATCACAGAACATAGAAAGGCACTTGCAGCTAAAACGTCTTGAGAGTCACACTGAAGGGCTGCACTTGAACCAGCCAGACAACTGCCCCCCAGAAAGCACTCCCATTGAGGGGGAATGAGAATTTACCAATAAACAAACCGAGGATCCCAAACTGCTGGTAAATACAGATTCTCAACTCCTGTCACTGCTTACTTGTGGAGAATGCTAGTTCTGGTATCCTGCTGATTTCTTCACTGCACTAGTATCCTACTATTTTCTTCCATCTTACTTCCCTCCTTTCTTCACAAGACCATGTGTTCACACTTTGCAATGCCTGAGCACTCATACTCCACTTTGTGGTTGTTTTCTTTAATTCCCAAAACCAGCAATGCCTGGCGCCCTCTTACCAATAATGCAAGAACGTAGATGTAACACTAACCATCTGCAGGGTTAGAAGACAAGAAGAAGGTCTCCCATGTGGGAGCAGCAAACAATGACTTAGGGAGGCACTCCTGGTGCTCAGACAGTGTGCAGTTTTTATTTTTGTTTTCACAGTTTTCTATTTTTGCTGATGGCCTTTGCCAACACTGTGGGGACCACTAAACAAGGCAGATAAAATCACAAGTGTTTCCATTATAAACCTATCCACATTGTGGGTAAAGCAGTGATTCCTGCTCCGGCAAACATGACTATTGTATGTGTTCTCCGTAGAGGTAATAAATGCACTATTCTTACAGGTGCACATGAGGTGCATTAGAGCTCTGTCACTAGTCACCCCAATAATTTTTACTTGCTTTTCCCTATTTTCCACATTTAAGAATACTCCTATGGTTTAAGACCAACAATATCCCAGCAGCGACACTTAGCTCTCAGCTGCAAGACTACCCATGCCACCTTCTGTTAGCTGGAAATACTGGTGGATACACTGAGGGCTAGAAAAATCAGTAGAAGAATGCATCAATTTCTCAACATGAGTCCTCCTGCTGAAAGCTGTGGTGCTCTTTATGCCTATCTGAATACGCTTGAAGAAGAATGAGCAGTCAGCATTCTTGTACTATCATCGTACCATATTTGTCTTCTCATTTTCAGCCCTAAATAATCAGAAGCTTCCCGCTCATCTTAATGCAATGTGAAAGTCACCAGAGCGCAGTAGGGAAATAATTAATGTGCCTCTTGTCCAGTCAAGCTATTTTCATATAAACCTTAAATTCTGTGCTCTGTCTCCAAACAATTTTAACAGCACAGTATTTAAAGTGGCCGAGTAAAATTGATACTGGGTCTCACTGGCAAGGAACATTTGAAAGATCACAACTGCACATTTAAGACTTCCCAGATTTCTGGAGGGAATATCTCATGCTACAACCATCTGCTCTTCGGCAAGTGAAACCCACCAAAATTATTAAAAATTAAGAACAAATGGTAGCTCAAAACCCAAAAGAAATCAGATTGTAGTTAGTTACTCCCACCATCCCAAACACAAAGGCTGGGGGGAGGGAGTAATTTTCCCCCCCAAGAAAACAAGGTTTTTTTTTCAAATTAGAAAAAAGATTATTTTACCTCGAATGCATTATAGCAAACATTTCAATCACTGCCTAACTGCCACAGAAGAAGCCATTAGAGCGAGGGGAGGCACAAAGCAGGCAACCTTCCCATCATGCCACAGTTCCACTCAACCCGACACTCCAGCTGCCATTTCTAAGGCCACCAATAGGAGAGGGCAAGCAGCACTTGCTGCCCACCACCTTTCCACCACAAACCTTCTTTCTGGTCAGCTTTTTTTTTTTTTAACCTATTAACTGGCATTTCTATCTGTGTTGGATTTGATGTGCTCCCAGCAATTAATTTACTACTATTCGTATTTTTATTAAAATACTTATACACACCCTTTATTCACAGAGATCCAGTCTCTCACTAAAAATAACAGAATCCATGCATGACCGGATCATACCCAGAAGTTGAAGGCAAAGGCTATAATTTGACAACAGAAAGACTGCTCCAAATGTAGAAAGTGAAAGTGCCAGCAACATCACAGTGCTAAGCTTCAACAGTAAAGGGTTCAATTTACCCATACCAAAAAAAAAAAAAAGAAGAAGAAGGAAAAAAATTAAACATAGAAATACAGATAACACGTCAAAAACACATCAAAAACAAAGTGATATTCCTACATACTTCCATGGGACAAAAAAAATCCCAGGATTTAAAATACTCATTCTCTACTGATTAATTCAAACACAAATATATTTTTACATTGGCGGTGGGACATTTTGAAAACAACTGAATCGCTGTTTTATAAAATCTCAGTGAAAGGTTTCTTAGGTTTCCACACCTGTGCAGATTTGCTTTAGAATAAGCCTCAGTGAATTTGGTAGGACCTAAATCTAAGTAAATCTGCATTTAACTCCTAAACTGAAACCTGAAATCTTTTATTAAATTTCTGCTGCATTCCAGAACCCAAAAACATTCTAAGTAAATGTGCAAATGATATTTTCCAGCCCTCAATAGCGCCTAAACTTTAGTCCAAAATCCCACAAACTATAGAAATGTAGTAAAATGAGTTAAGATTTGTCATTTCAAACACTGTGGATATTCGCTACAGATCTCCAACCTGATTTTTAAGATGTATGTCTTATATATGATTACATTTGGCAAAGTATAAACTGCTAGCAGTAATAGTTCTTTACAATAAAAGCCAATAAACAGATGATATTTTAAGAGCAGTCTACAAACACCCCTTTCGGTGAGGTATCCCATTATATTTTTATGGAAGAGCTCAGAAATTACTCTGCAGTTTTTGTTCTCTCTGTCACAAATGTACTCCACAATGTTATCAGCTACATAATAGAGTGCCTTGTGATTAATAATAGCAGTCTTTAGCTGGAGATTATATAAACATCACTGTATTGTGGATCTGTCTGAAGGTTTTTTAAAGTGAATAAATAAATCCTTCTTTTTCCACCTATCATGCTGAACTGGGAATTTACCCAATGCGTATGAAGGAATTTTCTTCAAGTTCATGAGGTTAAAAAATATACATCCAAAGGCATAATTCTGACCATGAATTTCTGACAACGTAAAGCTAGCTAATCCCCCATACAGGACTGCACTAGTTACCTAATACAGCGGCAATCCATAGACCGCTCAAGTGAATTGGATGGTCCAGCTCTACTTCAAACTTCAGCATACCTTCTCCAGTCTGGACGCATCTCAAAAATCACAAAAGTTTCCATGCTACAGCTTATGCGTCAACCCAATTTGTAGAAGTTCATGTACAGATATTTTAATCAGGACTGCAAATACGTACGTTATGGACTACAGAACTAACCTATAAATCAGTGATTCTCAAAATGTCAGGTAAGACCATAAAGGGAGAAAGGGTCCAAAAGTCCAGGAAAGGATAGAATCTTGAAGCAAGGAGGAGTCTCTCTCTCCTCCATCAGTCAAGGCATTGGGGGGGGGGGGCAGAGTAAATGTTCATTAATCTACATGGGGTTTGTAAGGTCGACTGTATCCCACTGTCTCATCATCCCAATCTGACTGGAGACGGGGGGGGGGTCCTCAGGAAAAACTGCTCTAACTACAGTTCAGTGTGTGTGGCTTCAGGATGCAATGAGAGCTCCTGTTCTATAGTAACTGATTAGTACCCACAATCCTCACATGCAAGTGAATCTCTACAGGCTCACTTGTACAGCTGTTTGCTAGCGGTGGGCTGGGAGGGACCACAAGGTAGCATGCATTAAAAAGGAGTTAATTTCTGTTTTTTTAAGTTCAAATGCTGTTTTAGAAAAATTTAAGTATTAGCAAGAAAACATCCACCCCGAAAGAGGTAGGGCCTATCCAAAAAACA